GGGAGTGTCTCTGCCCCTCCCGTGCGCCTATCCCTATCTGCACCGGTTGAATGACACTGCCCCTTTTGGGTCTCCCCTTGGCTACAGCCCAGTGGTAGTGGCCAGTCAGGTGATGGCTCCAGCCTCCTCCTGCTCTTTGTGGTGAGCCTGGGGAAGTGGCCAGGTAGATGGGCTGTGCAAGCTCACCATATCCGGGTTCCAGTACCTCCTGCTCAGGTATGGGGTGAGGAAGGGGCAGCAGCCCTTCAGAGGGGAGAGGAGCTTGGCACAGGACAGCCCTTTTACCAGCTCAGCCTCTTTATGTGATGCCAGGGTGGAGCCTGGGCAGCAGTGTGCAAGGGGCCCCTTTTCATCAGCTCCGTCTCGGGGCCCTAGGAAGCCTCCCAGACACGGTGTGGAGGATGCCTTTCCTGCATTCGTGTCAGACAGCGTGGCCCAGGCTTTCCTCTGCGAGCTGCAGTCCCTGAACATCCGTGAGTTCTTCCCTGGAGCCCTGGGTCAGCGGCAGGGTGGTGGCCCTGCAGGCAGACTTGTTCGACCAGCCCTGTGCCTGCAGTGGAGAGTGCAGACACATGCCGCAGGGAGGAAGAGCCCTCGGACAGGTCCAAGCAGGTAGCCGAGCTGACAGGTTCATAAAGGGTCTGAGCCCCGTTATCTGGGCAGCCTGGGAAAGAGGATTGGCTGGTCATGGGGAAGCTCTGAGGCAGGGAGGAGGAGGACTTCTGCCCTGAGAAATGAGGAAAACAAGCCTAGAGGGACAGAAAGAGATTCCCTTTTGCAGCTAATCAGTGATGATCCGGTCATCCAGCCCAGGCCTCGGTTGGGGTGCTGGGCCCCAGTGTTCAAACCTACCTACCCTCGCTTTGTAAGCCCTCCTGGGCCCCACAGGGCACCTCAGTTTCCAGTGTCTGACCTCCTGATTTGGGTGAAGCACTTCCCGAGTGGGGAGAGGCCCTCACCTGCAGCTGGTCCCAAGGAAGAGGTGCGTGGTCTTGGCAGGGGCTGTTCCCAGGCCTCCGGGACAGCCACAGCGGTGACAATAATGACCCGGCAGGACCCTGAACCCCAGTTTGACTCAAAGATGCTAAGAAGGGTCAGAAATCAGAGCTTCGTTCCCGGTCAGGCCCCTCATCCTGGCCTCACTCAGCTCTGGCCCTGGGCACGAGGCTGTCAACTCATTGCCCCTTGTAGAAAGTGGGGGTGACACGAATACCCGCTTCAGAGTGGAGGACCGCACAGGTCGGTGCTGAGGGCTCAGCACAGCGTAGCTGCGGGCGTGGAATCCTGCAGCTTCAGGCAGCAGGTGTCCCGTCTGCTCTGTTTACTCCTGTCATGTAAATCCTCCTGGCACGGCCCCTGGCGTGCGCCTGGAACAGGCTCTATAAACACACGTGTAGCCTGTGATGGTTATCGTGGGAATGTTCAGAAAATATTGGCTGTGGCCAGGCCCCCACACCTGTTCCTCCTGACAGTCCCAATAAACAACTTGTTTTCTTGGGATTTTCTCCTTCTACCCTGTGAGCCAGTACGAATCCACTGCCAGTGGCTGTTGTCCCGAGAAGGAGCGGCTCAGCATTGGAGACCCTGTGGGGATCTCTGAGTTTTCAGCTACTCCACGAACCTCCTGTTCCACTTTGTATTTCCACTGTCTTTCCTGCCTGTCTGCTCAGCTGCCCCGGGGAACAACCTGAGAGAAAGGAATCTCCCCACCTTCTCACCCTCCTCCCTGATGCTTTCCCTTGTCCCCCGGGAGTAAGATGCGGGAGTGTCACAGCCCAGGGAAGTTACCAGTGGGCCCTGCCATGCCTCTCTTCCCGAGGAGGAGGCTGTAACTTTCCATTGTCTTTTGGAAAAGGAGGAAGCTGTGCTCCCTCCCATTTGTCTGCCTCTCGCTGGCTCAATGTTGCTCCACGTTTTACGCTGGGGTCCCCTTAGCAATCTCCAGCCAGGCCGTTCTGGGTGGGGAGCCCCCACTTCCCACCTTCATATGAAATTTAAGGGGAGATTTAAAGCAATTGGAAAGGACTTTACAGATTAAATGCCCATCAATAGCTTTTCAAAGGACAGTTTTCAGTTGCAATTAGAAGAGACCTTGGGTGCATTACTGCTCACCCCAGAGAGGTTCTTCCAGAAATGTGGCTCTTCTGACCCCAGCTGGGGTACTGCAGTCCTTCCTGGCACTGCCCACCCAGAGTTGGTGTCAGACTCCCCAGTTTAAGGGCGTAGTCCCCAATAAGACTGCCAGCCACACGTGGGGTTCCCAAGGACACCACACTGACCAACTGGCTGCAAAGCCAAGGGCTCCCATGACCCTCCTCAGGCTCCATAACTCACTAGAACAGTTATAAGGTACCAGTTTTATTATAAAGAATGATCAGGAACAGCCAGATGAAGAGACATGATGGGCAAGGTGAATTCAGTAGTGGTGGTGGTATCAGCTGTTACCTGCTACCTACCTCTTTTCAGTGTTAAGCATTTCCTGTGTGCCTGGAACTTTTATTATCTTAATAGAGGCCTGGTGCATGAACATTCATGCACTGGAGAGGGGGTCCCTCAGCCCGGCCTGCCCCCTCTACAGTCCAGGAGCCCTCAGGGGCAGGAGGTGACCCAGCGATCAGGGGAAGGCGATGCCCCCATCACACTTCTGCTGCTGCCCCTGCCGGCAGCGCAAGCCTTGGCCGGCCCTGGTTACCTGCGCCTCGGCCGGCCCTGGTTACCTGAGACTCAGTCAGTGGGGTGTGCAGGAGGACCCGAGGCCCCCGGCAGGGCTGAGAGGACTCCAGCGGGAGGCGCGCAGAGCAGCCGGCCTTGACCCCGCTGTGGGCGCTGCCCTCTTGTGAGGGCATGACAGTCAATTTGCATATTACCTCTTTAGTATATAGGATTTCATTTCTACTACTGCCCTTTGAAGTCTCTGATGTTATGTCCAAATGAGGCATTGAGGTCCAGAGGGGTAGGGACCACCTCAGAATGATGGAGCTAAACAGTACGCCAGCTAGGACTTGGATCCAATTGACCCATTCCGGGTCAAAGATGGAGCCACCTAAATTTGTCCCAAACACAGTCCAACAGATGTTCCTTCTGGCTAGAAGACTGTTGTCTTTCCTTTACAGCTGTAGGCTGACAGGAGGTGGCTGCCCTTGTCTGTTAGATGTTGTACCACTGAGGCCTCAGAGAAGGACCTTGCCCAGAGGAGCCCTGTGGGTCACCGTGCTCCATTCAGGCAGTGACAAGCTACCCTGCCTGTGGAGCCCGTGGACATCCCGTCCGAGAATCGGGGAGAGGCAGATTGGAGAACTCTTGGGTGCTGGTCTCCTGCTTTCCCATCAGGGTTGTGTGTTCCGGAGCAGAGGGGACTGTGAGCCAAGCTCAGCTGTGCCAGTCCCTTCTGAGCCTCCCGGGGCCATGGCAGACTTGGTGGGACAGTGTAGAGAAGCATTCCATGCTGGGCCTGACCTAACAGATGTTCCTTCCTCCCCGTCCTCCCCTCCCAGATGATAGAAATGCTACAGTAGGTATTTCTGCCACTGCCAGGCCCCAGGAGACCTGCACAGGGTTGGGTCAGAAGCCAAACCTTGCAGTTAGGGAGATAAGCAGCACTTCTGGGATTCCTAAGAGACTTCCTGGTTCTCTTAGCCTTAGCAGTGGTTCTCAGGGCATTTGCAAATAAGGGCGGGCGAAGAGGGGGAATCCAGGGTTGTCATTGTGATCCTGCTGGAACTTACCCAGCGAGACCCAGGGATGCTAACCGTCCTGCAAGGAGCTGGACAGTCAGGCACACTCTTCCAAAAAATAGTCCTGCCTCTGAGAGACACTGGGAAATGTCTCATTTACGCCCCCTGCTGCCTGGTTCCTTAGAAAGCCACTTCCTCAGCAGTCTGCAGGCTGAATGAATGAGAACCGAACAGCATGCCCCCACCGCAGCCTGTGACGAATGACAAGGCAATGTTTCCGGGAGAACGTAGGCCAGTGTGAGAGGAGCATCAGTCTTGCACGCACTTGCTCCAATTCTTCATATATGGCTCTGGCGTCAGTTACACTCTTGTGGGCCAAGGAAGATGTTGGAGTTGGGTGGTGAGAATCCACAGGGCAGGGACGGGCCTCCTTCTCGGTGCCTGGCAAGAACTCCCCTGCAGCCCAGCCGGTGTAGACTCGGCTGCCTTGCTCTGGGTCCTTCTCCCAGGGTCTGCCTTTCACTTCTGTTTCCTCATCTTATCTTTCCTTTGGGCTTCTTTGTTATCTGTTGTCTTCATGTGAAATGTGTTTAGAGGAACCTAGCTGGATGCCATGGCTGAACCCCCCTCTCTTCTTGTTTTACAGTCGGAAAGACGTCTCTGATCACAAGGTTCATGTACGACAGCTTCGACAACACGTACCAGGTGAGGTCCTGAGAGCCCCTGTTCCCCATCACCCATGGTGTCTGCAGCCAGGCCAGTTGCCTGGAGACTGTGCTGGTCTCTCTCTGGGGCTGGCTGGTCCTGAGATGAGAATAGGATGTTCCCAGGGCCCAGGGCTTTGGTTTTGCCTTGAAGGAGCCTCCCGTCTATGCCCTGGCCCCAGCCCAGTAACGACTCTGAGCCCTTCTGAAGGTCCAAACCTCGGCAAAGGAAATGTTTTCCAGGAGAGAAAAGACACATTTCAGTCTGTGTCACCTTGCTGCCTGTGGGCAGGTCTAACCATTACAGGGTTTGGTTACTTGGGTGGGTTGTCACATGGAGGAGGATGGACAAGATGCAAAATAATGCAGGTGAAAGAGCAGTAGGAGAACTTATTTCTTGAGCGTGGTTATATTTTAGTCTCTCTCTCTCTCTCTCTCTCTCTCTCTCTCTCTCTCTCTCTCTTGCTGAGGCACTCTCTTCCCTAGAGAAGTTGATGTGATGGGCTTGTGTACTGTTCTACGTGGGCAGGAGGCTGGATGGAGTGACCCCTAGCTCCTCACTCTCACGGTGGTCTGGGGTCAACCAGTGGCCCAGAGGTGGCTCCAGGTGGCCCAAAGGCTGAGCTCTTGGGGGTCAGTAACTTTTCACTTTCCTGGCACCACAGGTGACTGAGAGGTTTGTGCAAATGAAGTGAATTTTCCTTACAATTATAGCTCTTTGCAGAAGGCACCAATTTTAATCATTTCAGTTATTTTTAAGAAAAAAAAAATATTCCTCAAAACAGAGACAAATAAAATGCATTTTTCTGAGCCAGTGGGTTTTGTGAGGTACCAGTTCCAAGGGGTGTTAGTAGCTTTTATTTGAGAAGAAGGCAGGCAGGAGGGTTTAGTACTTGTGTATATTTAGGGAACGCTGGTGAGCAAAAGGAAATGAACTTACTACTGCAGGACTTCTCAGGGCGTTGACTGCATCAATGTGTGGTTTTGTGCTGAAAGTGGGGGGTAGTGTGCAGGATCTCCCATGGGATCTTTTTGTCACTGAGTCCTCACGGGAAATATTTATAGAGCACACTGGGGACGGCCGGGTAAGGGCCCCTCTGCCTTCCTGGACTGACCGAGGATACGGAGCACAGCTCACTGCCGATTGCAGTTCCGGGTCTTCTCTTCAGTCTGGGTCTTCCTCTGGACTAGTCATCGTCTTTGCCCCAGATACAGCCCTCTCTCTGCCTCTCTCTCGAATTTCCTGCTTTTCCTCTGCAGTCGTCTGAAATGCCGGGGAACTAGTAGACTTGATGGAAGGGTCAGAACACGAGGCTCTGGGGGAGGGGCCCTGGGTGATAGGCACAGCCCGGGGCACCGGCTTTGGGAGGGTGATCTCAGCCTCACTGCCTTCGTCGTGTGCTTTCCAGGCCCGGGCTGTGCACTGATACAGCCTTAGCAGAGGCCCGGCCACCCCACAGGGGAGTTCTACCACACTGACCTGCATTTGGGATTCCATCCCAACAGACTGCAGTTCTGGAGTCTGACCTAGTATTCAGAGTGTGTGTGTGTGTGTGTGTGTGTGTGTGTGTGTGTGTGTGAGAGAGAGAGAGAGAGAGAGAGGGAGAGAGAAAGAGAGAACTATTTGAAGTTTTTGAATTACCAGGATACTTATAATGCCTCTTGTTGGTGTCCCATTGACTACAGTGAGACGCTTGGCTGCTTGGGGTTCTTGGCAGTGCGGATGGTGACGGTGACCTTTGCGGTGTCCTCATTGGCATGGATCAACTGCTCCCCATGTTGTTTGAGTCCCTCAAAATCTCAGCCCACCTCCCTCCAGTATCCGCTTGCTCACTGCTTGTCCCGAGGCCCGTTCGCTTGCTGCTCCTCACACAGTGACACTGCCCCAGCCCTACTCCTTGGCTCATGGTATCACCTCTGCCGGAACGCCCTGCCTTCTCTGCTGTGAAATGTTCTTCTGACTCATCAAAGCTCAGGGCACGTTTGTCTGTGTTCCGCCCCCTCCATGGCACCCTCTCCCTTATCACGTTGTCCTGGGCTCTCTTAGCCTCCTGACTCCACAGGAGCTCCCCTGTGCTCTGGCTCCTGGATGGGCTCTGGGCGTGGCTGGGGCCACGACCCCTCGGATCCACCACTATTCGTGGGCCCAGCACCGGGCCTGGCCACAGCTGATGTCAAATGCCTGTTGGTGTCAACGTGGCTCCGAGAGACACACTCTGCCTTGGTTTTAGACCCACCAGACTGGGAGGCCGGAGGCCCCATGTCCCTGTGGTGAGAGGGGAGAAAGCCCAGGGGGAGCAAGTGCCCTCCACTGCCTTCTTTGCTGACTTGTTTTCCCAGCAGGTAGAGTTTCTTTCCCGATACCCTTTAAAATGGTAATTAGGCTAGGAGGCCAGGGCTCCAATTCCGTGCATACACAGGCTCATCTTAATGAATTCTCTGGAGATGGAAAGGGGGAAGTGTTATTTTGTTTGCTTTTCTTAACTCAGTGGCAGAGACATTTGGGAAGTAGACAAGCTCCCCAAGGGCTGTGGGGGATGTTCCTTGTTGTCCCCAGCACGGTGACTACTCCCAGCTCCCCCCACGGACATCCTGCCCATCAGCCAGGACCGCCCCGCAGAGCCTGCCGCCAGCCCACCTCCATTAGCTGAGGTGCCCAGACAATTCCCAGAACCAGTCGCCTTGCCCTCCCTCCCATCCTTCCTGTGTGCCTCTGGCTCTGCCTCCTGCCCCCTCCCTCCACTCATTCTGACAACAGATGTTTGTCAAGTGCTTACTTGCTTGGAGAGAAAGTAGGAGAAAATAGAATCTGACCCCACCCTCAGCCTTGCGTGGAGGGCAGGGGGGCGGGAGGGTCAGCCTCATCTGGGTGGCAGTCAGTCCTCCCTCTGCCTGGGGCTGGACATGCTGAGGCCCCGAGGGGCTGGCATGAGGATCCATGAGGACCTGGCTGGGCAGAGCCGGGTTCCCCTGTCAGACCTCTCAGGGGCGCTGTCCACCTGGCAGGCCCTGGGGAGATGCCACCTTGACAGCCTGTGGGCCCCTGGAGAGCAGATCTGCTGCTGCCTCCTCCCCTCGATGCACATGCATCTTGTTCTCCTCTTGGCACATGCATCCCCAGCCTCTGCCACCCCACCCGTCACCCCATCTGATCCACTCACTAGAAGCAGCAAAAAAATAAAATTGACAAGCATCCTGGTGAGAGTCATAGCTCCACAAATCTCTTGTATAAGCCCCCAACTAAGAAATTATTTTCCAAATTTGCGATGGGAGAAACCTTCTGTGCTGTGATGAGACTTGACTCTCTGTGGCCAGGCCCCCTCCCCTCTCAGAGGCCAACAAAACACACCTGCAGGCCTGGCCCTTGGGCCACCTGCTTGAAACCTGCGCTAGAGCCATGTGGCGGCCTCAGGCCTCTGCAGGTGGCCACTGGGAGTGGGAGGGAGGATTTGGAGGCAGTGAACTCTAGGTTTTCTCATGGGTCCCTCGTGGGTCCTCTAGCTTGGCTGCACTTACTGGGGGTATGGCCAGGAGATTCACAGGCCGGCTCAGTCATTAGTATTTTTTAAATCTCAGAGGTGATTGCGATGAACTTATAGCCAAGGCTGGAGCCACTGGCCCATCCCTGGACCGCCCGCCCCTAGCCGATTGGGCTGCCCCAGGAGAGGGGCCCGGCCTGCTGGAACTGCCTCGCTGCTCCCGGAGTGGAGGAGCATTTCTGGAGGAACTCGGAGCTTTACCTGCATTGGGGCACTCCTGGGGACCCCGGGAGCCAAGGGAAGGGGACAGAAGCTGAGTCCACGGAGCCCTCACAGGCGGAGCAGTTGCCTGAGGCGCTCTCACCCCTGGCAATCTGCCTGAGCTGCCCGAGGCTTTCCTCTCCAGCTCCTGGGTCTGTATTAGTTTCCCGGGGCTGCCACAACAAATTACCACAGACAGGGTGGCTTAAAACAACAGGAATGATCCTTCCACAGTTCTGGAGGCTAGAAGTCTGTAGTCAAGTTGTGGCAGAGCCACGCTCCCTGCAGAGGCTCTGGGAGAGGATCCTTGCCACGTGCAGCTTCCGGGGCTGCGGGCGTTCCTTGGTGTGGGGCTGCATAGCCCTAATGCCCGCCTCCATCTCCATGTGGCCTTCACTTCGTGTCTCTGTGCATCCTCTTCTCTACTCATGAGGACACCAGTCACTGGATTTAGGGGCCCACCCTGAATCCAGGATGATTTTTCATCATAAGATCCTTAACTAATTATATCCTCAAAGATCCTTTTTCCAGAAAGGTCACATTCTGAGGTTCCAGGTGGACAGAATTTTGGGGGATACTCTTCAACCCAATGCTGGGCTCTAGCACCTCTCAGTCTGATCCCACTTGGAACCAGACTCTCTGGCCTAGGCCTCGGAATGGTCTGCCCTCACCTCACCTCCCAGCCTGGACCCCTCCAGGCCCCCAGGCCCCTCCAGCCCTTCACCTGCTGCATCCGACCCGGGGAAGCCATTTCCCCAGGACCCTGTCTGGGCAGCATGTCTCTCTGTTCTCACAAGGTTTTGCAAAACAATCAGATGTTTCTTTGTGTAACACTGAGCTGATTTAATAAAGCAGTTAGGTTCACTGAGGCCCGGTCATTGACTCTGTGGTCCATCCCTTTGCTCTGCAGCCCCCAGACCAGTGTCTGTCTCCACCCTAAGGATTCAACCCTACAGTGCGGGGCTGCCTTTCGGAGGAGCTGGGCTGCAGCTGGGCACAGCAGCACATCCTAGGGGCTCTGGGCGGGGCATTTGACAGGAATCACAGTGTGTGGACAGGGGTGCTTTGTCCTGGGTGGGCTTCGATGCTCTAAACTCTTTCTGGGGCACCAAGTTCTACTGCTCCTTGTCCAGCCAGACTCAGGCAGCTAGTTTGGGGGTTGCCAGGGGTGGGCAGCCAAGCCCCACACCTAAGATGCCCCCACATCGCCTTTGCTGGTGGGCCTGAAGAGGGGATCGGTGAGGAAAGGGGACCTGGGTAT